ATTATGTTGGCAGCCAATACCACTCTGGGATAGATTTAAATCATGAATTAGCTCCATGGACCACCAAAAAATTCCCCTGAGCCACTGGCCCACCTCTACTTTGCCAGAGGAAATGGTATGTCTACAGGACAGCCCAGACAGAACGAGGCGAGGCAGGTGTTTGCAATGTACTGTTTCAATTACCGATCACGGCAGTGAGGTATCCGGCGTCCTGCAGAACCTCAGCCAACGTGGTTTCATTTAGGGGGAGGCCACCGACTGAAGTCACAGCAAAATTGTGGGTCACGCCATTGCGAGTACCAAGCCGTCCCGTGAGGAGCGAGGCACGAGACGGGGAGCAAGTGGATGCTGCCGAGTGGAAATCCACCAACCTGGAAGACAAGGAGGCAACAACATGGCTGAGGATTTTTAACTGCAACGTTTGAGACAGGCAGGCTGCGGTTGTCTGGCCAAACATAACAGATTCACACACATTGGGGCTGGTTTGACAGGAGACCAGGGCCACACACAAACACACAACTAGTGGTAGCATGTATTACACCGCAATTTGAAACGCAAATGACCCTATTGCACATGGCAGTGGCCAGCAACATGCCTTGCAAGTCATCTGGGCTGCAGGTAGCTCACTGGGTGCATAAAGCTCCACAAATCAATCTTCTGCTCCAAACAGGCGGTCATCCAAGCACCTTCTGCACAGAAGAGATTGGCACCAACAAAGCCCTGAGTGGAGCTCGTGGTTTTCCTATGGGAAACCCTATGGGTCTGGTTTTCCTATGGGATAGAGTCCTTGTCTTGGGAAAGGAGTATGGCCAAGCGGGAAAAGGAAGTGGTTGGCAATGAGAATGTAATTCCAATTAGGCTAAACAACTTTATCAAATGGGAGGGGTTTGCCAGTGTGTCCTAAAGGAACTCTACATCTAACTGCTTCTCCAGATTAATTCTACCACCAGATTCCTCTCAACTGAGAATGCTTTGTCCTTGGCTCTCACATGCTTCATTCTGGGCTTTGTGATCTGTATTGTCCCAAAGGAGCACAACTTCCTGGGCTGTTTGCTGATGGAGATGTGCTCTATAATGTCAGTGAGGGCTGAGGCCCCACTCTGGCAGCAAACTGTGCTGCAGGAGAGGCAGGCACCCACTGCTGGACCCAGCGTCAGCCTTTGCACAAGCAGATTCCTATTTGGTTCCCGTCACAGTGAATTACTGGAACATGGCCTGGAGGTGACAAATGTGAAGCACCTCAGTCCAACAGAAAGGGCTTGTGCTTCCTGGTGAGGCACAGGTAAACCACATGCACAATTGCAGCTATGTTTTTCAGCATGACCTGGGGCACCTCAGCTTGCAAAATCCACCCCACTGCTTCCCTAGCCCGTTTTATCCAATTAAATGCAGCCATTTCTCTCCTTACTCCCCCAATATCATAAGAGTCCATGCTCATTTTGAATACACATCTGGGTCAGCTCCTAAAATACTATAGCTCATTCAATCCTTCCCTCGCTGTCCTTCTCCCACCCCCTTCCCATCCCTGTACCAAGGACCCAGTCCTGGAAAGCATCTGAATTTGCAACAGCACATAAGCAAGAATTCAAACCTGTGTTTGAGTGCTGTCCTGAATCAGGGTCCAAAAGTATGTGCGTCTCACCCCAGTCTTTCTGAGGCTTTTTTAAACCAGCTGGTACCTCTCTGCAGTCTGCCCTAACCTTACAATGTTGTACTACTCCAGTTTAATCACATGCTGGGTCAGTCTATTGAGTTACTAGATATAATTCTGGGAAATGATTTTGTGAACAGGCTCTGCCAGACACAGTTCCCATGTCAAATGCCAAATAACCTTTAGGACTAAACGAGAAGCTCAAATGGGCATAGCATTAAGAAATGTGCAGCTAGGATGCTGTTGCTGTAGCACTCAAGCATGAGAAGAATGTCAGTGGGGTTTTTTCACCCATTTTGTGCAGGATCATTGGCGTTACTGGTCTGGATCAGACCAGTGGCCCGTCAAATTCCCATATCCCATCTCTGCCTGTGGCCGGTGCCAAAACTTCCTGAGTGCAGCTCATCAACCCCACAGCAGGCAGATGGAAGAGAATTTACTTCTCATGATGAGCACCCCACTCTAGACCCCATCCATAAGACAGTGATGTAAGCTGTAAAACCCAAGCCTGAATACCACTTTTGTTCCTCCCCTCGCCTCTAAGACATACAATTTGCAGAACATAATAGACAGAATCAACTCTGCATTCTTGTATCAAAAGCTTGTGAAATAGTAAACATTTAATGATTGCATACAGCCTTGATAATGCAGACTCTACATTAATACTTAGGGTTATTGTTACAATGCCCTGTGCACCCCAACAAACAAACATCACAATCATTTTTCCGGTGAGATTTCTCTGTGGGTTCTACACAAACAGACGTGGTAGGATTTCTACAACTCTTATTTATTGCAGTCTGTAAAGATAACATCCATTTTTTTTAATTATTTGAACAAGAACCTGCCTCTAAATATTTGCTGAGTTCCTTTCTTTCCTTTTCCGTGTCCTTGGGACAGGGTATTTAGCAAAATTTGCAGATTTGTTGGGATCTGACAGGGCCACGCTGTGAGCGCTTCTGCTGTGGCCTCAAACTTGCGACCTTTGTAACTGCCCATTGCGACTTTCGACAGAAAATGGAAATACTTACTTATCAGTTTTTCTAGGTTGTCCAAGCCCAGGTTCCCTGTCACTATCTCAGGTTGACTGCTATCACAATGGACGCCATGAAAAGCAAATATGTTGCAACCCATGTCCTAACTACTCTCCCGACATAATCTAGACCACGTTTGGCTCCGTCAAAACACCAACTCAAAGGACTCTAGGGGCACTGCCCAGCACAAAGATGAAGATTTCCTGAGGCCACCTGCTAATAATCATTGCCACCCAAACCCAAGGATCCTCAACCAAGTTCCTACTTCCAGACACAGAGAAAAATACTTGCTGTGCTATCTGCAAACACTCAAAGGAGAATGGAAACACACATCCTTTCCCCCACATCTGTGATACAAAGAGCAGCTGCAAACACAAAAGAAAGCAAGGCCACAACAGTCACAATTCACCTGACTATCACAACAGGAGTCCAGTCCCATGTACACAGGCTGACTCCTCTCTGCCAGCATTAATAGGACACAGGAGTAAAGCTGAATATCAGAGTGGGGGGATCAGGTACAAGGACTCCTGCCTAGATGCAGAGAAGCACTGAAGACCCATCTTATGTTAAAACTAAATGGGCAGACCTCGAGGGGAGGTCTCAATGCAATTACCCGAAAACTGCATGGATAATTTGCAGGGGCAGAGAAAGGCAAACGCTGAGAGTTTGACTCTTGGTTTCTTGCAGAAGTGCTCAGTCTGCCAGGAGAGTCTGAATTTGATTCAGAAAGGGCGAATGAGGTCTCTGGCTCTTAAGCCAGTCCCAGCCCATTGGCATCACTTGCTAAACTTCTCAAATTCCCTGGAAAAAGTAAAAATAATGCAGCTCAATCATGATGAAAAAGGAATGGCTTCAGGGGACTCTTGTATAATAACAGACAGATTCTTTATGGTTTAGCAGAGACTTGCCTTTAGGAAAACTAAGGTACCAGCCAGGGAAGGCGGGCTCTGATATGTGATGCAGTCTCCAGCCCAGTTGGCTGTGGAGTCCCCAGGTTTCATAGTTTCATGGTTGTTAGGGACTGGAAGGGACCTTACAGATCATCAGGTCCAGCCCTTTTGCACTTGGACAGGAAAGACCTCTGGGATCAGATGACTCTAGCAAGATGGGCATCAAGACTTTTTTGAAGATCGCCAGGGTGGATGACTGCACCACCTCTGGGGAGCCTGTTCCAAACCCTCTGCACATGACTTGTAAAGAAGTTTCTTCTTATGTCTAGCCTGAAGTGACCCTCAATCAGCTTGTGCCCATTATTTCTTGCCCTCCCCTGGGGGGCCTTGGTGAATAGACGCTCTCCCGAGCCCTGATGTAGGCCCCAGTATACTTATAGGCTGCCACCAAGTCCCCCCTGAGTCTTCTCCAGGCTGAACAGTCCCAAGTCTTTCAGCCTCTCCTTGTATGACTTGATCTCTAGGCCTCTAATCATGGCCTTCCTTTGGACTCTCTTGAGCTTCTCCACATCTTTCCTGAAGTGCAGTGCCCAGAACTGGACACAGTCTCACCAAGGCTGAGTAGAGCGGGAGAATGGCATCTTTGGTTTTGCTTGAGACGCCTCGGCAGATGCATGCCAGTGTCTGATTAGCTCTGCCAGCTATGGCATCGTATTGGTGGCTCGTGTTCATTTTGTTGTCAATCATGATACCCAGGTTTTGTTCAGGTTCCTGGCTGGCAAGGCAATGCACCCATCCCAATGGCAAAATGGTTTTCTAAAGAGCCCTGGGTAAACAAAGTGTCACAGGCAAGCTATTTCTTAGGTGTTCCACCTGCCCCACTGGCGCAGGGGAATGGGATCAGCAACCATGGAGGATTTTCTGGTCCGTGCTCTCTAGTACACTGCTGTTCTGTTACCATTTGGGACACAAACAGCAATTCTCATCAATGCCTGAGTGGGAAGTGGCCACATGAAGGCTGCAATGGGGCCCCAAATCCCAATCTGTTCCCCAGAGAACGATCCGTCTGCAAAATGAAAATATTTTAACTGCATATCAGCGGTAGCAGCGAGTGCCTTCCCTGCCCCGTTCCTGTTGGGAAGTTAGTGAAATGCCTGATGTGGCATTCTGGCTGCACAAATCAATGCATCTTTCATCCGGGGATTGTGCAAGGCTTGTGCTCACTCTGCATGGGAACACAGCAGGAAGTGGTGCAGCCCCTGATTTCTCTCAGGAACTTTAGGGCCCCACTTCATGGCTTAAAACTGATGTCAACAGATGCCCCCTGCCCGTGCTGTGCCATCCCACTTTGCTCTGTGTGTGTGTGGTGGGGGGTGTGGGTCAGGGTCCTGCAGAGTGATACTCCACCTTCAGAGCACCTGAAAGGACCCTGTGCAGAGATGTCAGGAGCTGGACTCTGTGTACATGGACCCTACAGCCAGTAGACAGTGGAAAAGGGTAGCAGGGGTTTCTGAGCCACCCAGCAGTGTTTCTAGCCTCCACATTCTCCCTTTCCCTCTACCCTTCTTGCCCATTTCTCCACCTCCATTGCCTTCCTCCTCTCACACCTTCCTACAAACTTCTCCCACCCCCCCAGACTGTCCCCCTCTTTCCCCATCTCCTTCTACCTGTTGCCCGCTCCTCCCTTAGACTCCCCTCCAAAAGTCTTTCAGAAGCAGAAGCTACATCTCTAGGAATACGCATGGGATATAAGTGATGCACATGACTTTCGGGGGCCTCTGCATCATGGTCACTTTGAGCATGGAGAGTCCAGAGCATGGCTCTAGCGTGGATCTCAGACCAGGTACAATGGGACTAGTTATCATAACGAAGTCTCAGTGCAAACCTCTGTTTTGTTTCACTCTTGGGTATCTGCCAAGTAAATGGAAGCGTCAAAGCAGACAGGTAGGTTGAAGGCTTACCTCATTCCTTCAGAAGCTAGATTATCCAAGTGAGGAGTATCCTCTGTTTCAGCCCAGTTGGCTCCAAGGTCCCCCCATCCAATATCATCTGCCAAAATGATTACAAAATTCGGCTTTTCATAACCTGTTCTCTTTTCTCCCAGAAAAGGATTGGAGAGGTGATAGACAAGCCCAGTCAAGCAGCCAGCCAAAAGCAGCAGCGCTTTGAGGAACAGTGTGTCCATCATGCTTCAAGGAAAATGCCTCTTAAAATATTTGCATATGAATTAGTGTTCCTGCTCAATGCTTGTTAAAAACTCCCTTTATTGTGATTCACATATTTAGCACCACTCATGACATCTCTGCTATTCTGCAAAAAAATACGTTTTGCCTCTTCAGATGGTGCTCAAGAATTATAACACATCAGCCAGCATTCATTTGGGATCGTTGGGCGACCAGCTGTGCCATAATCTGTCCTTTCTTTTCCAGTTGCAAACAGATGGCATTCTTCACCTCCACCCAGCTGAAGGATGAAACAGCAGTCTCCCAAACACTGCTGCCTAGTGATTGCTGTTCTCTGCACATTTGCAGTTAACAGGATAACATTGTCTTAATGAGAAGGTTACTTGATTTTCCCAAGTGTTTCTACAGCTTCTTTATCCTGGCTATGAACTGTCAGAATCGAATCCACACTTTAGAAACTGCATAGGACCCAATCCTGGAATGCCTGGAATTGAAAAGTTCATATGTTCATAAATGAAATTTCTCCTTGGCTTCCCAAATGTTGTCCATGTCTTTAAAGAAGAAATACAGGTTGTAGTCGAGTCAGCAAATATTGGGCAGCTCTTTGAATTCCACACAAGTGAAAACCTTCATATTACAGCACATTGTCCTCTGCAAGAAAAAACAAGAGACAATTAAAACCAGAAAGAGCTTACTTAGCCCCTACCCTGGTGAACATAGGAACTGTTTTTCTATGAACGTTTCTTTTGCTTTGCATACAGAACTCATCAAATTGAAAGTTACTCTAACTCAACAAATGGAAACAAAAGCCGTGCTTATTTTCCCTAACCGCCATATATCAAACATAGGAATTCTGACTATATATACAGCCAAATAGAACATCCTTCTTTGCACTTAAAAGCTGAAGGTCATACTAAATGACACTAGAAAGGTAATTTTGCCTAGATTTGCAATGTGATCTTAGCTCTGACCTATCAACACTAGACCATGAGATGCTACTGATCTCCACTGAGGACAGCACACAAGAATACAGGATTTATGTGTCAACTTGCTTACAAACATTAAGCTACATTACTGAAATTAAGTTTGTAAGTTTAACTTTATTCTCATTGATCCATTCCTCAGTGTAGGCCCCACGGTGACACATTTACGCAGGCAAAACAACATTTTACAACATGAACAGTCTTGTGAAAAATCAAAGGAACTACCCATGAAGTCCACTTCTATTTCACAGGAATAAGGGAATCAGAAACTGGACCACAGAAACCATCTCTAAGCACATCAATGATCAGGGAAAACTGAGCTGGTCAGGCTAGGGCAAAGCGATTTTGCTAATATATTCTTGTTGGAGTCAAATGCACTTGCCTAGTTGTAGCTGAGGACAGGATTCCTATAACCATGTGGCCAAGAAAGCAACTAAGGAAGAACTAAGAGAATACATTCCCACAGGTCTGACAACATGAGCTGATCTGAGAGGCATTCAAAAAAATAATATCTTTACTAGAAAGTTAAGAATTAACTAAGATTTACAAGCCAAGATTCACACACAAAAAAGAAGCTCGAATAATAGCTTGAATGTTGTGAGACAGGAAGAACCAACATTGATGAGTATGGAAGGAAGCGGATACAATTTACAGGGCTTTGGCCTATTTATACAATGCCCATCAGCAGGAGCCTAATCTACAAGGACAAAGAGAATCATATCAGAGGGTACGGCACATGAGTGGGCAAAGACCTGCCTTGAATATTGAACAGGCTAACTATTGTGAGTATGAGCAGCTTGGAGCGGATGGCGCAGGCTAGCTGAGTCCAGCTAGGACCAGTATTGTGACAGATGTTTCCAGTTGTGTATCAATGACCTTGAGAAAAGAATGTGCAGCTGATGATACAAAGCTTGCGGGTCAGTCAACCCAACTGAGGAGAGCAGGAGCATTCGGAGTGACCCAGATAAACTGAGAAGATGAGTAAATAAAGGAAAATCAAAAACAAAGGAGACAGTGAGGTGCGGGGAGAAAGAAGAGAAAACACAACGAGCACCATCCGTAGGCCAAGCACTTGGCAGCTGTCATGGGCCATAATTCATAATCTCCCATTCAAATCCATTATTAAATTAAAAAACCTTAGGGTTTCAGAGCTGCAGCTCCTTTTAAGGCTCCTAACCTAGCACAATAATAATTCATAAAAAATACATAACACTTAATAATTAACAACCTGGAGCCATTATTTAAAAGCTTTTGCCTGAGGATTTCAAAACTTTTCACAGGCATTAATTAACTGAGCATGGGAGGTAGAGAAAGGACTCACAGACGGCAGAGCTGGAACAGAGGGAGGTTAAAGATCTCTCTGTGACTCGAGAGCAAGCCAGTGGCCAAGACGGGAGGAGAAGGCAGCAATCCTGACGTCTATGCTCATGTCCAAACCACTATAACCACAGCTACTGCCTGCCTCATGTATTACACCTCAAAAGAGCCCAAATCAGCTAGATAAAAAAAACATTCCCATCCAATCTATTTCCTAACATCATGCCCATTGGGAAGAGGCTGCCCTGTGAGGCTGAACTCCTTTAGAGGTGCAACAGTAGCAGTAATAGTTTAAAATGACTAGGGCCTAGGCATGTCATGTTCATTAACGCACCGTAATGATGGCACATTAAGTTTAGTACCTGCGCATTACTGCAAATTAATGATTTTTAGGTGACTCTAATGCACAGTAGATTAATTCTGCGCATTAGCATGGTTTTGGCACTAATGTGCAGTAGAATTAGTCTGCTGCGATGTTAAGTGTCCTGTGTAGACACGCCCCCTGGGGGCTGCTTTGGGTCCACAAGGAGTGAGCTGGCGATTCCCTTCCAGTCACTAATGACAGGCTGGAGTCCACCACACAAAGAACAAGTGACGCCCTCCTCCAGATCCTGACCTCATTCGCAATGGTGTAAATGCAAGGTAAATCCACTCACTTGGGTAGAGCGGCTTTGGGCTGATATCAGTGTAACAGAGACCAGATTTTTGCCTCTTAACTCATCTGAAGGGCTAAAGATCACGTAGGCAAAGAGACTCAGCTCCCTTAGCACCTGTGGTCCTTCCTGAAGGTGTTACCAGCGGTAGCATATTGGCAGGATAATGCTGAGGGAAGTTAGCATCTATGCTGCCCGTGATACACCTGATCTGTGGGTGGGAGGCCCTGGTCTCTACTACAAACCCTTCCAAAATTGCTCCATTCAATTAGAGATGTTTGGGAAGCACACGGAGGACTCTGTAAATGCTTTTCAAATGCATGGGAAACAACATTACCCTCGAAGTTTCTCTTCTATCCAAACAACTCTTCAAAGTGATGAACAGATTAATTTCTTCATCGCAAACAGCCTCCCCACTCATCAGTAGGGAAAGACCATGCTGATGGTATCAGAACAGGCCTCAAACAAAAAGTTTAACTTAGGGAAAGCTTGACCTGAAATCCAAACATGCCAGGAAAAAAAAATTGCGTTCACATTTTGGTTTTCACCCTCAGTGCGAGGTTTTTCAGAAGAAAGAAATGCAGGGCCTTTTCACAGTAATTTTGCGTGGCTCCTGGAGCTTGTAATGCCTGGACCATGCACACATTAACACCTTCAGGTGGCTTAAAGCACTCATTATGCAGCTCCAAATTACACCACTCCAGGGCAGGATTCTCCCTTGATCTACACAACCCAGCTCCTGTCCCATTCACTCCCTGCAGATGTGCCGCTCACATTGAAGGTGTGACCACTCCAAAGCACTAAGCCAATCAACTTCTGTGCAGCTCACAGTGTTAGGCATAAGAAGGCCCTGAGATCCCAGCATTTCCAAGGCTGCAATCTGGGGTATGCAGAGAAGTATCTTAGGGGATGGCTCTGGAAGGGAAAAGGGCCAGGAAGACTCACAGAGGAGCACTTTGAAGAATAAGCAAGGCAGGGAGGTGTCAAAGGCATGCACAGGGGACTCAAAGTAAGGATCAGGGAGAGAGAATCGTATATATATTAAGAGCAGGGAAGCAGGCAAAGATCAGCAGGGCCCCTGAGTCAACCACAGCAACTCATCTCTACCCACTCTAAACTGCTGCATCCAGGCAACGCTCTCCCACTCCACAAAGCAGCACCGCATATTTCCACCATCAGACACCTTTACTGGCTTCTGAACAACTCCTGCCTCCTGCATGCTGTTGGGTCTACCAAGTATCAGTTCAATATGGCTATATCATCTCTCGTGGCACGAGCTCTTACCTGGTGCATTGGGTAGTTTGGATGGTATTTTTCCATCCGGGTCCCAATCCTGATGCTCACTCTCTGCAAAAGGACCCCAGTTGCCCACAAAGGTCATATTCACTTCAATGAGCACACAGGTCTGCCCTCAGGGGGGCAATGGGGTTCCAGTGCCTACCTACCCAAAGTGACTTGTGGGATTGGGATCCTTACTGTCCTCCTGCTTTGCAGATCTCTGTGCACAGAGCCTCTGGGGCAGACACGCTCTGGTCTTCTCACACAAAGAGCGCAGCAGTTTACAAGCAAAGTGGCATTTAGTGTCAGGAAATGGAGCTTAAGCCATGGTTCAGAGCAATAACCAGCAAAAATGTTCCCCTTTTGTGCTCCAAGGGTGCAAAACAGGTGGCTGCACTCTCCCCTTGCACTGCCCAAGCAAGATATTATTCTTTTAATGTAAATATGAAAAATAAACCCAGCTGCTTAGATACTGTCTGCTAATAAAGGACTCATGTATTTGCCTAGCAAGTCTGATCTGGCACCAGTGATATACCATTATAACATGCTGCCACACCTCTGCCATGCCAAACTAACCAATCGACTGGATATCAGAGTCAGCCTGGATGTTTGGCAGAGTTTCTATTAATTTTGCGGAGGCAAGTGGGTAGCCCATGGCTAACAGAAACAATCCACACCATCTTCAAAGGACACTGTCTTCCCTTAAATTTGAAAAAGGGGAAGTTATTTGAGGCCTATGATCGTGTGGTGGGGTCTGACAAAATATGTCGATTCTCAGAGCCCTCGAAAGC